TTTAGATTCTAAGACTTACACATCAGAGGCCCCCCCAGGTCTTGAGGCTTTCAGTCTCAGACTGAGAGTTACACTACTGGCTTCAGCTTCCCTGGTTCTCAACATAAAAATGTAGAAACTTCCTCAATAAATGAAGAGATGTTCTTTCGTACCTCTCATTTATGAAAGATAAAATATATCGAGATCTCGGCGCTTTGGGTGACTGAATATGCAGTGGTAACCCATCTCAGTTTTTGATCAATCTTGTGAAAATATTTCTGTTGTCCATCATGGTATTTCAGATGACCACAGTTATAGATCTTGTGCACACAATTGCAAGCAGAATGATGTGCATTCATACATTTTGGTTTTTCCCCAGCTGCCATTACACATGAGTGCTTATGCTTGAAAATATGTGTTTTTTAATTGTCTATTTTATTGTCTAAAGTGGCTTATGAAGCATCCTCTCGTTTTTATACGTTTCTCTAATAAACCTTCATTTAAAAATGTAAATAAATGTCTTTAAATTTTTTTCTCTTTAAAATAAATGTCTTTAAAATTTGTTTTTTTCCAGAATTATATTTTCGGGATTTTAATTTTTTGGGATTTCAACATTTAGAATTATGGCATTTGGGATTGTGTCTTTCAGGACTGGGGCACAGACTCATATAAAACAAAGAAAGGTCTCAATGAGGACTGCAATAAATGGAGATTGCAGCCCCAACCCAGGGAGGGCAGTGGATCGCAGCTCTAGTACTTCAAACCACTAACACACTGTTGACAACTATTTTATTTTGTAATGTTCTACTTATCAGAATAAAAAAAAAAAAGTCTGGCCGGGCGCGGTGGCTCACGCCTGTAATCCCAGCACTTTGGGAGGCCGAAGCGGGCGGATCACGAAGTCAAGAGATCGAGACCATTCTCGCCATGGTGAAACCCCGTCTCTACTAAAAATACAAAAATTAGCCGGGTGTGGTGGCACGCGCCTGTAGTCCCAGCTACTCGGGAGGCTGAGGCGGAAGAATCACTTGAACCCAGGAGGTGGGGGTTGCAGTGAGCCGAGGTTGCGCCACTGCACTCCAGCCTGGCGACAGAGCAAGACTCTGTCTCAAAAAAAAAAAAAAAAAAAGGTCTATTGGCCTTTGGGCTCGCAGTTGTTCTTCTTAAAGATATTACCAGGCAGCATTCCTAAATTAATACCACATTGTTATCTCAAGGACCTGAAATCTAAGGTGAGAACACTGCTGAAAACAAACTTTTCAATTGTATTGGAAGAGTGAAATATTCCAGAGCAATGTGAGATAACATACATTGACATATCCATTTTGTGTCTCAAACAAGGAATTTGAGACACAAATTGCTGAATTATCTTATAATTGAAATGAAGATTAAGTACACATTATTAACAGGGTAATCATTACCTGTTCCTTTCTTGCACGTATAGGTGAGATGGTAATTGCAGGGAACATCATTCCACTGGCCATTCTCATGCCAAATGATTACAACACAGTCTTCTCCAGCAGAAAAAAAACTGTCTGGCTGGTTGGGCCTCCAATTCTCATATTGCTGTAAAAATGGAGGGAGAAGGTAACTACTTGCTAGTCAAAGAGTAACATAAGTGCAACGACAGTATACTATCACAACCTAATTGGAACAGACTTAACAATTTCTGTGGTTTCATATAGCTGAAATTATTCCGGTGGTAAACAAAGACTGTTAAACTGTGAGTAAAAAATAGATGTGTCTCAAAGTCTTTAATCAACAAATATCTATTATTTGGCGATAAGATATCATTGAGAAATTTTGGTCTAGTTATTCTAGATTTCTTAATATAAAATCTACCCTCAATTTAAGAAATGTTATCATATGATTATTAATTCAATAAAATTAATGGAAGAAATAGAGAAAAAAATAATCTCATTAATCACTGTTTTCTTCCACCACTTATGTGCACATATGAATTCATATCATTGTGATGATAGTTCAATCAAATTTTCAGCCTGTATTTTCTCTTCTTTACTACTATAAAGTACCTTTGTCTCATTTATTGTAATTGCTTTTTACCCAAATTCATCTATTTGGTTAAAAAAGTTGAGATAGTTGCAATATTTATTTCTTTGTATGTATCTGATATACCTATGCTGATCATTTTAAATACAACCTTTCAGAGCCAGTTTGTTTTAGATGTGATTCTTATTTGCACTATAGAGTTGAATTGTACTTTGTGATTTAATATATGATTTGTTTTCTTTTAATAGAAACATTTATGACATTTATGCATATTGATATAAAGATACACCTTCAAAAAAAATCTTACTACAGATCTTTTGTGTGTAATGTATGCTGAGATCATTGAAGATGATTTCATGGGTTTAACATTTCTCTGCTGGTTACCTTTATATACACATGTATATATACATTTATAAGTATATATAATTATATGTCTTACTCTGAGCAATATACAATTGGAAATATCTTTTGCCTTCCATCATATGTATCATTTACTTAGCATCTATAATAGATGAAGCCCTTTTCTAGGTACTTGATATGCATTATCTCTTAACACAATCCAGCACAATAGGAAATTATTTGGGTCTTAGAGATGTTAAGCACCCAGGACTCTCTGGTTTAGGTTCATTTCTTTGGTACTTAAAATATTGCCTCCCTGGCAACAATAATTATATAAAAAACATAGTCGCTGTGCCTATTCAAGAATAACAAACTTTGACAAGATGAAAATAATATTGGACTATAAATAAGAGGCCAGCTTCCTAGTCTTGGGTCCTCTTAACTAGAATGTGGTATGAGACAAGTTTGTTTTGTCCATCATCTTTCCGGGTCAATTTGAGCATCACTTTCCCGCCATGCTTTGTCTACTCTCATGCTTTATCACATCTAGCATGACAACATTAGTGGTGACAAACTTCCAAAATGTGCTAGAAATACAGATTTAGATTTATGTGACAATGGATAATATGATGGTCTTTTCTGGGCATACAGATCTGTTAGTCTTTCCTTGAAATAAGTTTAAAATAAGTTTATGGCTTGAGACAATGAGTTAAAGAGAAAGTCAGAGAAGAAAGTGTATATAAGATTTAAGGCCCTTGTTCTCAATTCAGAGCATCAGTACATGAAAAAAGGAGGGGGGGTGGTCCAGCTACTCTACTACCTACTTACTCCCTATAATACCATGACTATTTTTATGTCTTTTAAAATATATAATATGTCTGACCCATTTTACTCTATTTACCAAAGCACTATACTTAGCTATTTGCAGTGCTTTCAATACCAAATGTTTCTTTTGTGTTTTAAATCTTTAATATTGGGTATAATAAAAGCTTCAAAAGGTATCCTCCTACCTATGAAATTGAGATTTGTATACCAATAAACTCTAGTTAAAAACAAAAAAGGTATAATTCATACACTAGAGGATGTCTATAACTTTTCTTCTCAGAAAAATGGGTTTTCAAAATTTTTAAATATGGTTTAAAAAAAACTTAGATCTTTGAAAAAATAATTTGTGAAACGACCTCAAGTTTGAGAACCTTCTACTTTTCTTTCAGTCTCTTACCTTTAAAGCCCTCCTCAATCCTGCCAAAATTAAGATATGAGACAAGAGATCACTGCTATATAAAAAAAGCCTTTGAAGAGTGAAAAACTTGCAAAAAGAACCAAGAGACACTTAAGGAAGTTGTGTGTTTTTTTGCCAAAATACAGCTTGAAGGATGGTTTTATTTCTTGGGGGAAAACCTAATCCAGAAATAAGGCAAATTTAAATCCAACTCGTAGTCTAAACGGCCCCGCTGTGTTACTCTTCAAATGGGCCTGGAAAATATGCTCAGGGGACCATACTCTCTACCGTACTTCTTGACTGGTAGGTCTCCCTGCAACCACGAACTGACATTGGCTCTGAACTGGGTTTCTCATTATTTCCCTATTTTCCTTTTGTCTGCTCACTTGCCTTATCATCCCTCACCCTCAACTCACTAAGCCTCCTTTTTAAATGTTTGATACTCTCCTTTAATAGATAATCAACAAAGCAGAGATATGTCATGTTCTGCCCGTTGCTGATACAGAACTAAGTTTTTTTAATCAATGAGTTAAAGTAGGATAAAAATTAAAAGCCAAAGAACAGAAATCCATTAAAAGAAACAATAATCTATCTTTAGTGCTTTCTGTGGTCAAAGATTCCAGAGTTTCCTAAATATTAAATTTGGATTTTGGAGCACAATATTTTCTAGCTTACTTTCTAATTAGTTTCATAGGAAACCAGTAATGTCCTCAAAGGTGAAAATTTTCCCAACATCCTAATACTAGGGGTATACTGTGCAATACTCCCTCATTCTTTGTCCTTACCTACAGTGTGCCATCTCCCTTTCTTGATTTCTTTTTCTTCATAACATTCATCATATTCTAACATCCTATATAATGTACTTATTTGTTGCATTTTTTTTCTCCCTAGTAGAATGTAAACTCATTGAGGACAGGGCTTTGGTTTATTTTGCTCACTACTGTAACCTCAGTGCCAGAAACTACGGTACATACTTATGTTGTTTAATAAACAGTTTTTGATATTTAGAAATAATGAGCCACAGAGGGTATTTCATTATTCCCAACCCACACAATCCCTAATCAAAGATCCTGCTTGCTGCTAGCAAATATTACAGACAAAACTAATGAAAGTTAATAGCCTTCTAGAAAAACAATTAGCAATGCATATTAGGAGCCTCAAAAAGTTACTGCTTTTGGACCCCCAAATTCCACTTCTAAAATTCTGTACTAAAAAATAATCAGAGATGTGAATGACATTTTATATGAAATACTATGCTTATTAGCAGTAAAGGGAAAACAATTTATAGAGTGAACATATGTTCAATAAATTATTAATAGCCAGACAAATAGAACATTATATCACCATTTAACATTTTCTTTGAAGAATAAATGAAGAAATGGGAGATGGTAAAAGGAATGTTAAATTATGTTACAATGATCCAAATTTTACTTACATTCTGTATAAGTAAACACAAGACACACACACATACATATACCCATACACAGCTGTATCACACAGATACAGATGTATCACCCATACACAGCTGTATCACACAGATACAGCTGTGTATGGGTATATGTATGTGTGTATGTCTTGTGTTTACTTCATTTCTTCATTTATTCTTCAAATACACAGCTGTGTATAGGTATATGTATGTGTGTGCTTGTGTTCGCACGCGCGCGTGCGCGTGTATAAAAGACCAAAAGCAAATGCAGTAAAATCTTCCAGAGTTTATGTCTGAGTGATATGAACTTTTCCAAGTTCTCCACGGTGAGCATTATTTTTCTAATTGCTAAAAATAAACTTTATAAAATGATATGTGTATTTCTCACAAAAAATACAAATTTCTTAGCCCATTTCAAGTTACTAAAGTCACTTGATTGCCTTGTATTTTGCAGCTGACACTTCCTCCTGATCTGAACAATAGCCATCTCATTTTCAAACTGAAATGAGATTCGGATTCCATGCCACTAAAGTGATTCTCAGGGCTCAAACTGGCCAGATTCAGGCCTCTGGTAAAAGATTTAATTGTTTTGGGTGAGAATTACATTTGGCTTGCAGCAATGACTTAAAGCAGCGTTCCTGTTGTTGCTTGGCAGAGCTGTGGTTTAATGGTGCAGGACCAAATTTTAGCTCTGTGGTTTTTACAAGAATGTCTGATACCCACAGGCATGTCACACTATTACCTCATATCTGATGGTTCCATTGTGCAGATTTATCTTGGCTAGGATGTTTTGATTTTGCTTCATGTTATTGCCAAACTGACTTAGCAAAGAAAACTCAAGTTTTCTGAACAACTTTCTTTGTGTCCTTCTGAATTCTTTATAGCCTTATTTAAATTAACATTACTTACAGGGACAGAGTATAAAAAAATAAATATTTAACTTTAGCTTCAATAATGTACTTTTCTTTTCACTAAAGTGTTAAGAAGAAATCCCTTCTCAGGGAATCAATTCTGAGTTCTAAGAATGTAAAAGATCTTCTTGTACAATATGGTGTCTTATACATACAGAAATATAGATTCCTGGAATTAGCAAAGGAAAACTCAGTATCTCCCATCTGGATTTCTTTGCTCTTCACTTGGAATTATGAGCAAACATCCTGAGTGATCTATCCTGGATCAACTCTCTACTAGAGCTGAATATTCAAACTAAGAATTATTCTCAGAGCCAGCATGGGTTGGGGAAATTCATTTTAAACCCTTAGGTAAAAATAAATGCTGGTCATTCCCCTGCATGTTTGTCTGTGCCTCAGGGACTCAAGTTCTCCACTACACATCTCAAACTCTTGTTGCCTCCCCAGGGACAAGAATTAGATCACCACTATACCTGAAAGAGAACCCTAAAATTACTTTGCATTTTCACTCTCTTCTGACGGCAGAGGAAACTGTGACATAATCAAATAGTTGCCGGGCGAGGTGGCTCACGCCTGTAATCCCAGCACTTTGGGAGGCCAAGGCAGGCAGATCACAAGGTCAGGAGTTTGAGACCAGCCTGGCCAATGTAATGAAACCCCTTCTCTACTAAAAATACAAAAACTTAGCTGGGCGTGGTGGTGGGCGCCTGTAATCCCAGCTATTTTGGGAGGCTGAGGCAGGAGAATTGCTTGAACCTGGGAGGCAGAGGTTGCAGTGAGCTGAGATCACACCATTGCACCCCAGCCTGGGCGACAGTGTGAGACTCAGTCAAAAAAAGAAAACATCAAATAGTTGATGTAGAGGAAAGCCAACTCAGATGTAAAATTTTCTTGCATTTTATTAAGAAATAATCATTTTATATCTAGCATATAATTGCTTAATGTGGTATAATATACAATAAAATCATTTCTTTTTAGAGTCCAATAAAATAACTAGCTCTCCAGGTCTGTAATAACATGCCAAAAAGGACAACCATTTCAATTAAGCTGGAATCAGTCACTTTTCAGTTATTGTTTTTCTTTCTTTTTCCCCCAATTGAATTAAAGTAAATCAGCTGCCAAAATAAAATGATTCAAAAACCCCTGGACAAAATCTAACAGCCAATAAATATGACTCTCACATGAAAACCATCTCCACAAACCAAAGAACTTATTGTGAACCAATCCCAACAGAGGGGGAAAACCAAAGAACTTATTGTTAACCAATCCCAACAGAGGGGGAAAACTCAGAGCAGACTGACATTATTCATCGAAGTCTATCAAACTCTAAATATTTTGATTATTTTGTTCCAAATAATCTGTATTGTCAAAAATTTATTTCTGTCTCACAATAACACAAAAGGGAAGACTTATTCTGCAGGTCTTCTGCAGCGCACATGACTTCTGTGCATGCCAGCATCCTTAACCCTCAGAGAGTGACCTCATTCCACGTGTCTCAGAGGGATTTGACTATTTTTCTCGCTCAGAATGGTTAGAGAGCTATTTCTCTACCTCCCAGCTCTTTGCAACTCTCCAACTTAATTCACCATACCAGAAAAAAAAAAAAAGATGATTGTGAGTGGGGAGTGGGGAGAGGTCTTTGCTTTTGAAAGTTACCAACAATCTACTAAATTCAGATGAGGTTTACATCTGTTCAAGGTGAATTTCTGACTACATAGTGTCTAGGAAGTCCGAACTGTCAGTCAGAGATACCAGATGATCTTTTATCTTTCAATATAGACACCAGATGACCATGATCGATGGCTTAAAATCTCAACAGATAACTAGCATCACAAGCATGAACAAAACAAGCTGATGATAAAAATATAATGTACACTAATTGACCTTTTCCTTATGCAGAGATGGATAACTGCCTTCTTGTAAAAGTTTAAAAAGCAGTTTTTCAGAAATAGGTAAGATTTAGAAATAAAACAGGAGTTGCTTTTTTTTCTTCTTTGTGTTAAAAAAGGAGTTGTCTTGGGTTCATCTTCAGTACTACTTTCAGTTAAATAAAGGAAACGAGACCATCCAGTATCAGTTACTGCTGTCACAGTCAAGTCCCAGCTGGCCCTTGCATGTCACATACAGAAGCAAATCCATCTATGAGCAAAAGACTAAGAATTTTTAAGAGCAATTGTTCTTATCAAAACCTGACTGATAACTAGCGCTTCTTCATCATACTCAACCCATTTCAAGTTCTTTTCACTGAGATTTCACAATTCCTTAACTTGGTCAAATAATTACAAAGACCAATCAATGAGCACTGGTTCTCTAGAAGAGTCAGACACTCTGTTTAGAATCTTTTCATTTCTTTTCCTCTCTACTGGCTCCTAAATCATACAATATAAACAAAAAGAACACAGAAATTTCATAGACACTAGACAAAATTAAAGTTCATATTATTGTGAGTCATAAATTTGAGACTCTCTCTCTCTCTCTCTCACACACACACACACACACACACACACACACACACACTACTTCTTGGCATTAAAGAAGTACCTAAGACCTAAGACTTGGGAATGCTTCTATTCACACACACCTGTGTAGCAGATTATTTCCTGCCGTAAATACAGTGGAGAACATCCAAAATGGTCAGCGGAGTAGACAGCAACACACTTCTTGCGATGGGAAAACTAAGCTGTCCAACAGACAGACTTGAGAGCTCACCAAGAGTTTTTACACACTAGCCAGTCATTGGGTACAGTTCAAATTTGTGCCTGGACCAAAAGTACAAATGATTTCATACTGTAGACCTTTAGGATCTCACGTATAACTCGAACTGAAAATCTTGAATCTGTAACTGCCAAGGGCCTACCTTCCAACCCTCTCTATATCTATTCACGTATTATCTGTGATTTTTCAGCTTAGGTGCAGTCATCTTTTGTTCTTTAAAATTCACCATAATTTAGATTACATTAAATGACCAATTAAGGATTTTACCAAGTACATCCCACTGGGACAAACAATTCTTGACATGTGTCCAGTCACTAGTCATTCATAACATATTATTTTAATTGTTGGGAGAATTTGCTGAGCTTCAAACTATAATTTGGAAGTTTTTTCTTGAACAGTTTCATCATGGCTCTTCACTTACTCTGTTTTCCTCCAAACATCGCTAATTTAGCTCACAGTAAAAAAAAAAAAAAAAAAAAAAAATCATTTAAAAAAACCCTGCAAAAGCCCTCTCGGTTCACTTCCCAAGGAAACTAGCCAAGGAAAACTTTCTGCAGGGTTCTACTGTTGTGTATAAAGTGAAAACACAGGACAGACACGTCCTAATATTTGCCTTAGTTGCTAGGATTTTACTAAGCATTTGACTACATGTGTTAGCTTCATGCTGCATTTGAAAAACCTCTCATTTCACGTTTAACTTTCAGGATTATAATATCATGCAATTTATACTAGAATTTAAAAACTACTCAAAGCTACAGGAACTTAATTTACAGATAGTATTAGTCCTGTGTATATCTGGGTGGAGTTCCGTAAATGGGGTTTTGAAACTCAAAATACGATACAACCACTAGGTGGTGATATATACCCATTCTTATATTAGGAATTAACAACTACATCACTTAACAAAACAGAACTTAGACTAACATCCCACATCCCCAAAATCATGATTATGTGCTCCATGTGTCAAAAAAATATATTAAAAGATTGTCTGGGATATGTTCTCTCGGTTTTGTGAGTGAAAACACAAAGAGAATACTTTGCAAGAAGACAGACCTCAGCGAATCGGTATTTGCCAACCTGATTGCAGCCTACTCTGTTGCAGGCCGTTGTATCTATAATCTGAATTTTCTGACTGAAATGTTCACCTTCAGTAGTTTATTCTTTTCCACTCTGTCTTTTAAAATTATCAGATGAATTACATCAAGGGTGAAATTCCATCAGAACCAAAGCCAAATGTGTCCCCTTAAAATCCTTACGACAGGTCAGATGATAGATAAACACCTAAGCACACAAATGCAATGCCTGCAGTGTGAATCACAGTTAGTATGTTTTTTTTTTTTTTGAGACGGAGTTTCGCTCTTGTTACCCAGGCTGGAGTGCAATGGCGCGATCTCGGCTCACCGCAACCTCCACCTCCCGGGTTCAGGCAATTCTCCTGCCTCAGCCTCCTGAGTAGCTGGGATTACAGGCACGTGCCACCATGCCCAGCTAATTTTTTGTAGTTTTAGTAGAGACGAGGTTTCACCATGTTGACCAGGATGGTCTCGATCTCTTGACCTCGTGATCCACCC